GCCAAAAATCTAGTTTTTATACCTTTTGCTACCGTGATGCTCAGCTTCCCTGAGACTGGAGATTAGAAGGAACTCCTGTGATGTCACCAAACCTCCCAAGTCAGGCAGACACTCCCTGCCCTATGGGAAAAGCCTAGAGGGCAGAGGTATGGAAGCAGGGTAAGCAAAAGAGTTGTGCGGGTGGTGAAACTTCTGTAGTGAAGCTACAAGCCTGGTTTCCTGTCTGGGTCTATTTTGAGGAGTGGAGACAGGAGGTGCTAGACTATATTGCAATAGGTCCCTTGAAGTGCTTTGACAAGCAGCACACACACACACACACACACACACACACACACCACACACACAGACTAAAGGCTACAGTGTCCTGTTTTATACTCAGGCCTGGAATTGGTCAATGATAGGAAATAACAGAGAAATGGGATGATTCCAAACAACAGGAAACATGCAGCAGAAACAATATCACAATGTCTTTATTATGGTTTCTGCGGTGCCCAGCCTCTGGGAGCTCCTGCTTGGAGTACTGTGAAGGCTGAGTCACAGGGAGGAGCATGCAGCTGTAGACAGGAAGACAGGGCTTGGGGTCGGTCCCTTCTGATTACTCTCAAGTTACCTTCAGCAGAAAAGTACATAAGAAGGACATGAGGAACCAGAGGGCCTTGGGTCCTCAGTTACGGAAGGGCTCTCGGGTCCTCCCCTCCCAGCCTGTTTGGCTGGAAACAGATCACAATATCCCTTAATGGTTGGAGGCTAAATTTGATGGCCTTTGCTGATTACAGATATGGAGAGGCCAGCCCTTTTCATTCCAAACTGTACTGGAATTGGGCTTCTTATTCAGTGGTCCAGATAAGACCTGACCCTCTTCTCTGTGCTCCGGGTTATTAGTGCATGCAGCCCAGAGGGAACAGCTTTTCTTTAGTGTTGGACTAGTGAGAGTTTTGTAATCTATTGTTTTCTTTTCAAGGTTGCCAAAAATAGTGGCAAAAAGCAAGCAACACCAGGAGGAACACTCAGCTCCACTGTATTCCAGGGCTGATCTGTGGGAACAGGCCATATACTGATCATGTTCACTTAAGATCTCCATTGTCTGGGCCATAGCAAGGACCAGGGGAGATACTGTGAGCAAATTAAACCCAAATGCAAGGAGAATGTGGTGATTTGATGCCACTGTAAATGGCAGCTTAAAAGGGGGCCGTGGTTACAGATGCTGCCAGGGTGTTCTGAAATTCTGGCATCAAGGTTGTTTTGCCTTTTAGTGCCAAGTACAGAATAGTCATGTGCCACATAGTGACATTTCAACCAACAACAAATGGCATGTCCAGTGGTGGTCCCTTAGGTTATGTTGCCTGGTGATGTGGTAGCTGTCTTGGTTTGTGTAAGAGCACTCAATGACTCAGCTCTCAGAATGGGCTTCCAGAATGGAATTGGGTTTCTTAGTGACTGGTCCAGACAAGACCTGGCCTTATTCTCCATGCTCTGAGCCACGAGTGACTCTACATGCATGTGTCTCTCTATATGCATATGTAGTGCATGACTGCATGTGTACCTTTACTCTGCTGGTTGGAAAGAGACGTGGAATACCAATACCAGAGCCTATTGCCAGTTCAAGTTTTGTGCCTCTTGGGTAGTCATGGCTGGATGGGCAGAGCCTTCTCATAGCTAGAGTGTTCTCTGCACTGTCAGAAGCTGTGATGCCTACAGTAATTGTTGTGCTTTGGACTAAGGCATGGGGCGGCCTTGGTATTCATTTCCCTGTGAAGTGCCCTCTTCCCAGGCAGTTGAATTCTGTGCTTTCTGTTTTGGTGATAGGAATGGGGTACTCCAAGACTTGGCCACTTAAGCAAGGTCCAGGTGACCTCCCATAGGGAGCACTAGGGCCAGAAAGGCAAGTGTCTACCCTGCCAGCCCATTGCCTGGGCTGGGGGGTAGGAAGAGGCAATGTATTCATGGCTTCTGCTGCAGCTATCCTCGAAGGAAGAGCACTTGAGTTGGATCAGTACCTAGGAATGAGGACAGTGCTCCATCCCTGGGATAGCCTGGGGTCACTGCCTCAGGGGAGGAGGGTAGGGACAGCCGTGGAGAGGTTGTGCAGAGCTCAACCACTCTCAGGGACTCTGGTCCTGCAGTTCTGCTGTGTCGCCCCAGGCCCCTTCGTTTAATTCTGAGTATGTAGATGAGAAGTGCTGGAGAAAAACCAGGCTTGGTGCAAGCAGTCTTCAGAGAGGCATATGTGTAACCCAAGCCTCCCATTTGGGAAGAACATTGATCTTAATTGTTGGCAGCCAAGACAGAAGAGACTGAAACATTTTCTCATACCCTCATCAGAGCCAGACATTAATTTTTGCACTTGGCAGGATTTCAGACAGTCACAGTGATAGGAAGGCTTGAAAAGGGCTGAGTCCTACTAGGTGATGGACGTACACCTCTGTTTACCTGCATGGGGCTCCAGGAAGCCACCTCAAAGAGAGACTGTAGACACTGGGGTTGGGGTGCCTTCTGTAACAACAGACTAGTGAGCAATGGACCCTCCCTTTGGTACAACACTAGGTGCATATGGGAAAGAGGCCAGCTGTTGTGTGGGCTGTTTTGTTTCTCAGGATTGTTATGGATTGGGACTGCCATCCTTTGCTTGGGGTAGAGTCCCTTGGGCCCTTTGCATCAGGCCCCTACCAAGGGAAACTACTGAACTGGATAGGGAGGTAATCCCAAATAGGTCCTATTGTGGATGAGCTGTGGGGCTGGCTTTGCAAGTTTTGGGACCCAACCATCTTGATGTGGCCTGTGGTCTTTTGCCATTCACCTGTAGGTCAAGAAACTCAAAACAAACAAACAACCCCCCCCACACACACACTGCAGCTCCAAGGTAGCAAGCATCTTCTTGATCTGTAAAGGACCATGGAGCATGATGGACTCCCAGTACCCATGACTGGGGAGTGGTAGGAAAGCGCTGTTCAATTTCCAAAGCCCAGAGATGATCTCTGTTCAAAATGTCTTGTGAGGTTTAGCAGCTCACAGCCTCAGGGACAGATGGTGACTCACCGGGAGAGTGAGCAAGAGACCTTGTATTTAACATGCTTTAATCTTCTCAATGGAAAACCCAGGGCTGGCTGCTACAAACACAGTCCTCAAGCCTAGGAGCTTTGTGCTTTGTTTTTTGTTGTTGTTTTTCCTTTTGACCAGATCACATAATGGGCCCTCTTCCTGGTCAGTCCTGTGAATGTTACTGAGTAGTTTTCATTGTAGTTACCAAGTCTCACTTGTGTAACTTACTATTTAGAACAAGCTGGCTTCAACTCATAGAGACCCACATGTCTCTCGGGTGCTGGGATTAAAGGTATATACCATCATGCCCAGCTTCAAGTAATAGTTTTTAAAAGCTGTGGGTTTCAAAATGAACCCACATGTATCTCCTGTCTGTGGCATCTCAGCCCTAAATAATCTGTCTCCAGCAGTGTACCACCCTGCTTCTAGGTCAGGCAGTTCCTGCAGAAAGAGACCATCTAGGGCTCTAGGCAAGGCTTTGGTTGCAGATCCTGCTCCACCTGAGCATCTCAACACCGAGGGATATGCTTGCCCCTTCTTTTGTATCATCTACTCCAGAACAAGTGCTTTGAGCAGTGGAGATAATGTAAGCTTCTGCATGGCTTGAAGAACCCCTCCTTGTCAGAACTGGCCATACCTAAGTCATCAGGTTGAAAATAGAAATCCAGAACCTAGACCCTAGGTCTAAGGGCTGAGCCACATCACGTACTGACTTGAGAGCTTCAGAACAGGGTGGTAGGGTTGGGCAAAGCTTGCAGGCCGAGCTTGGTGCACCTATGACCACATGCCTCTCAGCCTAGCTCCAGCTCCTACTGTGGAGGGGAAGACATGAATGAACAGCAGGAGAAGCAGCAGCTGAGTCTACATCCCCATGATGGGGAGAAGGACAGACTTCCTTCTTAGGACGCTGACTAGGACGTCTTGATGGTTGAGATACAAATCTTCCCAAGCCTTGGTTGTGTCCTCTTTTCTGTTTCGGCATGACTGCTTAGGGATTCTGTAGAGCTCCTCCAGTCTGAGGCTGGCTTGCTCTCCGTATAACACCACATTTCTATGACAGTGGTGGTGTTGGGCTGGGAAGCAGGAGAAGCCTACTCTGTTCTTCTCTGCCATGAGACTGTATCCTCACTGACCTCCGTGGCAGCCAGGTTGAAGCATCTCCCACAGAGGGGTGTGATTCCTGCCAGTGTATTTGTTCCACTCAGGTCCCTAGAGCTTTGGATCACACTATACCATTCAACAAATGGGGGCCAAGAGTCTCACCTTGGTTTTCCTGGTCTGCTAAGGGCTTGTGAAGCTGGATGACCTGGTTGAAAAGTTCCTAGAATTCTGGGTCTCTGGGAGAGGCTGTCTCCACTTTTTCCAGTCAGAAATCCACAAGCTAGTTTCCTTTTCTGTCACGAGGAATTGAGAGTTTAAACACAACCTTGAGGGATGATTTCTAACTGTTCTCCCACCACAACATACCTGAGAGACACATAGACACTTACGAGCAACAGGAGCTCATCACGGAGGGGATTTCAATGTGGGCAGGGGCCTCTTGGCATCTCCTGGAGGGGGAGTGAGGCTGACCTGCCCCTTTCTTTCTACTGGAAGTCAGAGCTGGCCAATAGAAAGAGCGAGAGGGACCATCTCATCTACACCAGGGTTTCACAAAGCGATTCTGGTCCTTTTTTCATCAAAAAGAAAAAGAAACAAAACAACAACAACAAAAAACAAACAAACAAACAAAAAAGAACCAGGAGTTTGAAGGCATGGATGTCTAGGCATGTATGTGGCTGTATGTGCTTGTGCACATATGTATGCATGTGGTGGCAGGTAGTTTTACAATGTGAGGGCAGGAGGTGGTCCAGTAGCAGGTGATGCCACAGCTCTCGGGGCTTCTCAGTATGGCAAGACACATACTCTATTTTGAGGGGAACGGTGGCTTCAGTGCCATAAAACTTAATGACAAATTAAGGTGCTGGCAATGCCCCATTCCTGTGAGTCTCAGTGCCAGAGATTGGTTAAGGACAGACAAGGGAGAGGAGGGAGGGGATGCCACGCCCCAGCACTGAGCTTCTCTGCCCCACACTATCCTGGGGGTTTCAGGTGAATCGCCCCACTGTTAGGACGAGCGGCCAAGATGTAGATGACGTTCTCTCTTAGGAAGGTGGGCCAGTCCACATATCTGCAGAGGGAGAGAACAGGTTTGCTAGGCTGAGTGCAGAGCCTGAAGGTCCACAAGCCCCAATCCCAGAGGCAGGCTGCCCTGAGCTAGATGAAACTCAGGGACGCTTGCCTCGTGACTAGCATGGTTAGGGTGCGGCTATGAAACAAAGCTAGGAGATCAGCTGTCTGGGGTCAAATGTATCTAGGGTCAAATCTTCTATTTTGGGGGTGGAAGTGGTAACGCCTTCTTTTATTTATAAGGGGTGTTGTGGCAGTGGAGGCTATATACAGCCAAAGAGGGTCACCTTACCTGGACTCCTGCTCTGTGGACAATGGGACCTTGTCTTCACTCCTGCTACTGCTGCCGGCTGGGCTGCTGTCTGCTATGGGACCCACATGGCTGATGCTGCCAGTCACCAGAACATACAACCGTATGTTAGGAGCAGAACAACAAGAGGCCCTGACCCATCCCTCCCAAACTCCGGGGAAACTATGGACCCAGACATGGGGCACAGTCTAGGACAAGGGCTGCCCTACACAGTCAGTAGGGTCGCGGTCCTCGACCTAGTTCACAGGGGGATCTGCTGCCCACAGGAGGAGAAAGAAGTACACACTATATACACCAGGACCTCCGGACGGACGGAAAAAGGAAGAGGAGGAGGGCTAAGAGGGGCGGGGCTGGTGAGGGGCGGACCTGACGCTGCAAGAAGGCGCCTCTGCAAGGCGTTTACTGAACCAAGAGTGCCGGGCCTGATGGCACTCTGCCTCACTGATGGTGTTCCCGCTGCCCCGTGCCAGGAAGGTGGCTCGGGCTCGTTCCCTCTCCTTGACGGTGAGAAGCCTCAGTAGAGAGTTCTGGGGAAGAAGAGATAAGGTCTTGGAGGTGAAAATGTCTTGAAAACTACAGAGAATTGCGGTTCCATGACCTAAACTTTGCTGCCCCCCGCCCCTTGAACGTTCCCAGAGCTTTTCGATTGCCTGACATTTTTAGGGGAGTCCAGTGAAAACAAACCTTCTTCGGTAGTCTCATCGGCTCTGGACACTGGTCACGCATCACTGGACGGCCTGGAACCCTTTCCTGATGCATGCCTTCGTTTAGACCATTCCCAGTGCTCCCCTAATGTGCCCCGCATGCACCTGAGGCCTCTGTCACTACCCGCGAACATTCATTACCGCTGCTCCTCACCTGGGGACGCAGCTGCTGCAGCAGTAGGAGAGATTCATGGGACAAGAAGTCCGACCATTCTACGTGGCCTCGACGTTCAGGGTCCAAGGCTGCAAACTGGCGAGCTGCCTGCTCCTCTTGCTCATCACTCAGGGCCCTGTTGCTATCCCCTCGCTTTGCTGCTTGGTGGCGGTAGCGCACGAAGTCCTCCAGTGTCAGGGAGCAATCTGTGGGAGGCATCCTTACTGGCTATGCCCACCTTCCCTCAGCCTTGGACAAGTTCACTCACCTCCAAGGCACCCTCAGTGTCCCCCACAATCCCGGTTCTTGGGGAGTCATGCCTCAATAGGCAGGAGGGCTCAGGGGAGTGGTGGAAGCGGCGGCCTCTGAAGGCCACAACGGAGGGAACAAGGACTCATTCATACCTACTCCCCAAATCCTGAACACTCTTTTCACCCTCTGTTTATCCCAGAAAGGGTGAAAGGGAATGTAGCTGCCCCTCCTTCTCAGCAGCCCCTGCCGGTCTTACCAGGGATGACTTTACACCGTTGAAAGGTCTCCATGAGGCTGTACATCTCCTCCTCTGTAAGCAGCAGGTTAAGGTTGTCCTGAGAGAAAGTAAAAGAGGAGTTAGTGGCCACATAGGCCAGTGACAAATGAGAAGCCTGGGGTGAAGAGGGATGGAATCAGCTGGTCCCAGCCCCCTCTCACACAGTCAAGGAGACTAAGACCCCAGAGAGGGGGAAGGTTTGTTCTGAGTTGTCCAGTTGTCTGAACTTGGGAACCCAGATACTGATTCTGGCTGACTCCTTTAGTAAAATACTGTTTTTTTTTTTTTTTTTGAGTCAGGGTTTCTCTGTGTAGCTTTGTAGGCCAGGCTGGCCTCAAACTCACAGAGATCTGCCTGCCTCTGCCTCCTGAGTGCTGGGATTAAAGGTGTGTGCCATCACCACCTGGCAAAATACCAGCTTTCTAGTTACCCCATGAGCAAACCCAGGGATGTTACAGAAATATCTCACAAAGCTGTTCCTAGGTGTAAAGAGACCCTGAGTACTGGTGCTGTCAATCCTGGCCTCATCCATCAGGCACTTAGTATGTGTATTTACTTTATAAGCATTGGCTGTGCTTAGAGCACATTTTAGTCATAAAAAAAAAAAAAACCCTGCTTCTAGTGGGCTGCACAGCTTTAAGTGGTTCTCAGATGGTTTTGAAATGTTCCTAAACAAAATGAATGAATTTTTATGGTGTCACAGAAGTTTTAACCACCAGGAAGCAGTGAGCCCTTATTCTGGTAGCATTATTATGCAGTCTTTAAACTGTTGAGTTTAAGTCCTTTGTAGGGTGGTGGTGGTGTAGCTTTCAATCCCAGCATTCAGGAGGCAGAGGCAGGCAGATCTCTGTGAATGTGAGGCCATCCTGGTCTACAGAGCAAGTTTCAGGACAGCTATGCAAAGGAACCCTGTCTTGAAAAAACAAACAAATAAATAATCAGTAAATAAAACTTAAAAAGGATTTAGAGGAAAAAATTCTTTGTAATAGTTGGTTAACCTTTCTCCTAAAATATCAGCTGAGAGCAGATGCAGACATCTCACAAGTACTCATCTATGAGTTCCGCAAAGAATTCCATGACTCTTTCAGTAGACACCTATTGAGCATCCGGTATGTGCTGGGCACAGTGGTATGTCATAACACTGTAGTATTTGGTATTTGGTGTGGCTGCTGCATGTGAGTGTGAAGGCAGCACAAGGCCCTTACCTTAGGCCTTTATTCCAAGGGCAGTGGGTAGACACAGAAGGATGGCTGTCACCGTCAGATCTCTGACTGCCGTAGGGAAATGGATTAAAGGGGCCAAATCTGCTGGTTGGAGAGCAGTTAGGTGGCTATCGCCATGGTACAGGCAAGAAAACCAGTGCTTAAACCCAGACATGGAAACAGGGAGGGGGGAAGAGGTGACAGATGTCAGCAGCCAGTCAACAGAACCTGGTGACCTACGGGCTGAGGGATGAGGGCCAGGGAAGAGCAGGGACGGGGAACTGGAAAATGACTTTACTCTTCAGGGATAAGGAATGGAGAAAGAGCAGGTTGAGGCAGAAAGATGAGTTCACTTGGGGCATTCTGAGCATTCTGGTGAAACATCAAGATGGAGACCCCTCCCCCCACAGGAGATTTAAGTCTGGACACAGATATGGGAATCATTAATGTTTAGATAGTGGGTTATAGGATGGAGTCACTCAAAGACAGCAAATGCCGTGAGAAAGACAATAGAATCCTGAGGAATACAGCACCTAGAACGGAAACAAACCAAGGAAGTTGAGAAAGAACCATCAAAGAAGACGGGAAAAGGCCGCGAGTACTGGTTGCCAAGCAAATAGTGTGGCATTAACAGTGGTAATATACGTGTGGTGGGATTTTATTATTTGTGAGCATTTTCCTTAGTTTTCATATATTGTATAAAATATAGAAAATAAATGCCAAGAGAAAGATAAGGAAATAAGGAAGGGCTAAACACTTTATTCAGAAAAGCTGACTAAGAAGACACCCAAGAAGAGGTCACTGGACTTGACAATTAGGAAATTATTGATGACCTCAGTACAAGCCAATTCAGCAAGGTGCTGACTGCAGAGGTCAGGCTTGAGGGGCGGAAGTCAGGAGATAGTGAGCTGTTGTTCTAAGAAGTACCATTGTGGATGGAGGGAAAAGAAAGGGATGAACTTGGAGGAAGTCTTTGTAAAAAGACATTGAGATGGTATTGGTGATGGCAGGACCCTCGCAGAGCTGGGAGAAAGCAGAGCATTCCCAAGAGAGAGCAAAGAGATGTACTAACCCAGGCCCATGCTAGCAGCACCCTGGCAATCAGGGTTGCCATAAGTGAAAAGGCTGGATGGAGCTGGTGGCAGTGTGTACGTGTGTGTGTGTGTGTGTGGGGGCAAAGGACGGCGAGGACAGTAGAGCAGGGTTTCTGTGGTGTATTCTGGAGGGGAGGTATTCGGTAGCTGGAAGTAACTTCCAAACTTGACTTCCAGCTGCAGGGGGAGAGTCAGAAAGTAGCCCATGCCTGGGGGCTACTCTTTATACTCAATCACAGGGTAGTGTATACTAATCTGCTCCTTATACTCAATCACAGGGTAGTGTAGATATCTGCAGGACAGCACAGCAGGAGGCAAAGGCTGGGATTCTACTCAGGCATGGTGATAAGTGGCTATGAATCTGGCTTTCAGTGGAAACCTCAGATTCTTTCTGCCATTAAGAGCTGGGAGGCATTTATATATAGTTGCAGAGTTCTGAATCAATACAGCTTTGCTATTTAATTCACATAATGATCACTTCAGCGATGAGAACAAAAGCTCCTACCAGGCAGCAGGTCAAGTGAGGACATCAAGACAAAGCATTTTCCTGTGACAGAATCTACCTCTGCTGGGAGCACTGTTCAGGACACCCGGTTGGCTCTTCAGGTGAGTACAAGGAGTGGCAACTATAGACTTTCAGAGAATCCAGCACTGCCCTCTGCAGAATTACTTTTCATTGGTTAGGTCTTTTCTTTCCATGACTCTTAGCTGAGGCTGGTTTTGCTCCCTCTGGAACACACCTGGCAAGGTCTGGTGGGTTACAACTGGGCCTATTTGCTACTGGCATATTGTTTTTTAAGTGCCATATAATGCATTTCATAGCAAAGAACTGATTATCCAGTTCTAGGACCCTTGCTTGCACTATTAGGAAACTCCACAAGTCACTGCTTAGAAATAGTAATTTTTAAGACTGGGCCTCTGGAAAGAACGCCAGGTTTTCCTGCTGTCTCACAGTCCAGACTCACACAGTAGTAGCAGCTCCAGCCCGTTTCTGTATGGGCCATCTCTGTCACCTCCACTGCACTGTCTCCTTGGAGGTAACCCATGCGCCGCAGGCAACCGTCGTGGAAAACCCTGGTGCAGACTCTGCATGGGAAGAGGCTCTCAGCGGTCCAGACTTCGCAGATATCACACATCTCATCATTGACAACCTGGCAGGAATGAATAGGATTTGAATGTACAGATAGTGAGGAGATCTTTTGTTTCCACAGAAAATGAAGAGCTTTGGATTCTTTCAAGACTATCATGGTTTGATCAAGCAAGACCCCCTGAAACAGTGTCCCAGGTGATCCAACAGCTGGGACAAGGCAGCCTTGAAGACCACTACAGCCAGGATTTCTCTGTCTTCTTAGGATCCTCAAAACAGCGCCCCCTACCAGCAGGAAGCAGTTTAGAAAGAATGACGCCCAAATTCCCAAATATTGTTTATAAATGTTTGTTTTCACTTGTATGGGGTTGGTTATAAATGGTTAATAATCACAACCAAACTCTTTAAAGGTAAAAGGGGTATTATGGTATAGATATGATTATTTTGTTTTAAAATGGATTTTCATTTATTGATACAATTTAAGGTCAATTTTGTGATATGTATATTTCTCCTCTTGTTTAGGTATTGTGTTTATATAGCTCATTTATAAATGTAATGTATAATTTGACACAGATTATAGATATTTACCTATGATATTCAAAATTTAGAGATGTATTTGAGATGAATAGGCTTTCTTCAAACCTTTCAAAGACCTACAGAATATGGCATTTAAAATGGTTTAGGGTTTTTCTTGACAGTGAGTCATAACTGCTCCTGGCAACACCACCTGTATCAGAAAGGAAGATGGACACTGAAGAAACTCCTTATGGAGTTTACTTCCAATATGGCAAGACTAGCCATTTGGGCAAGATACTGCTCATGTCTGGACTTTTTAACTTTATGCAATATAAACTGGACATGCAGGACCCACAGAAAAGTGATTGCTGAAACAAGATGTACATTGCTACAGAGTTCCTATTTCATGGAAGAGTCTGCCAGACAGTCTGCAGGACACAGAGAAAAGTGACTGACAAACTGCCAATACAGGGGGATAGTTTAAAGTTTCCTGCTTTGCTGAGGAGTCCGCCAGACACACTATGGTCAATGGGCTGAAGATGGAACATTACAAGAACTTTGGATGACTGATCAGGGTAGTTTTCTCTGTCATTTCTAGAGTTTATATATTATCCTTCTGTGGTCTTTGAAGGAGTTGAAGACAGATAGTTATGGTTATAGTTTTCCTTAGTCAGGATTAAAGATAAGTTACATGTAAGACTTTAGATTCACAAAGATAGGATAATGAAATAATTTCTTTAAATCTTGCTAAATGTTAATGGACTGAACATTGTTAACTGTGGTTCTTATTTGATAACTGTTTTGTTATATATTTTGCTATGTTAAGGTTAAAACCCTTCTTTTTATTTTAGACAGAAAAGAGGAGATGATGGGTGTTACAAGTAAGATTTTCCTGCTGGTCTGGTCCCACCACCACGCCAGCCCCAATTAACACACCGAGACTCTGTATTTGTTATAATGCTGTTGGCCAGTTACTTGTTTCTTATTGGCTACCTCTCTCTTAAATAACCCATTTCTGTTAATCTAAGTGTTTCCACATGGTCTCATCTTACTGTGGTGTACCAACGTGATGTACTTACTGGGTGTACCAACGTTGCTGTGAGACCTTGGGTGACTGTCCAGGTAGCCTGCTGTTTCTCTCCTCGCTGCACCTTTTGGAAGTTGCCCATCCACACTTCCTGTCTACCCTAGTATCGTTATTTTCCTTCTAAGGTCTTGATGAGGTTGAAGATTAAACTATCACAACTATTATTCTCTCTTCCTAGTTAGATATATTAGGTACTAGACTTAAGTTTTCCAGCTTAGGTCAACTCTATTGTATACTCCGCTATGCCTTCACCCTAGGACTAGATATGTAGGTTGTTTTGTTCTTGATTTTCCTTTTCTTAGAGCACACTTGTTATTTACTGTTTTGTATATAGTTTTGTATCAAGACTAAATCTTTTCTTTAGACTAAAAGGGTCAGTGTAGTAGGATATTGACTTTGTCTCCTTCTGTGGCACTGACCACGCCCATTGGGGGTGGAGCCAGGGGCGGAAGTGACCTGTGGAATTATGTCTGAGGAGGAGTGAGGGAATGCTGTCTTGCTTGCAGCACAGGGACAGGAGGACTTCCGGAGGCATCCTTGGGACCAGGAACCTGCTGGTGTTCACCTGTCTATGTTGTGAATTATTTCTCCCTGAATAAACATCTTTTCAGCCTAATTGTCCATCCAGATCCTTATTAAACATCAATAGATGGGAGATGTCATTCTGTAAATATGTTTCTCTTATTGGTTAATGAATAAAGCCCTGTTGGTCAATAGGAAAGCAAGATAGGTGGGACTAAGAGACAGGAGAATTCAGGGAGAGGTAGTGAGATTCAACACGTAGGACCAAGAGAGCAGAACTCCGGACCCTCTCTCGGTAAGATAAGACCACATGGAAATACTTAGATTAATAGAAATGAGTTAATATTTAAGACAGAGCTAGCCAATAAGTAATGGTAGTAATAGGCCAATAGCATTATATCTACTACAGCGTCTCTGTGTGTTATTTGGGGCTGGTGCGGCTCTGGGACCAGGCTGGCAGGAAAACCTCATAACAAAATGGCGCCCTACGTGGGGTCCAGTGCAGGGGGAATGGGCAGGAGATGAGTAGTGGTGAGTGCAGTCTCAGGGCCGCTGCGGAGATAAAGGAGTTGTAGGGCAGACACAAACTCAGCTTGTGAGGTGTGTCTGCCTGGTTAGGCAAGGGACCTTGCCTGTTCCGGGATGCTGGGGGAAGGGAGTGGCATGTGTTGCCTGGGTGAAACCCAGGTCCTGTGAAAATCCAGGTCCCAGTTCTGACACCAGATATTGAGGTTTAATAAGGATTAGGAGAAACAAATAGGCAAATAGATGTTTATTTAGAGAGAAATAACTTACAAGATAGATGAACACCAGCAGGTTCCTGGACCCAAGGATGCCTCTGGATGCTCTCCTGTCCCTGTGCTACAAGCAAGAGAGTGCTCCCGGGGCCCCTCCTCAGACCAAGTTCCCCCAGGTAACATCTGCCTCTGTCTCCATCCCCAAAGGGCGTGGTCAGTACCACAGGTGCGGACAAAGGGAATATCTCACTACAGAGATTCTATACCTGCTACATGGGACTGGGTCTCTCAGGAGCCACCACCAAGGTGTGAGAGTGTTCTTGGTGGACAAGAACCAGGAAGCTCTTCTAGCTGCTTAGGGCTCTGTTACTGTTTCTGAACAGAGATAAAATTAGCATTTCATGGGGGAATATATGTGTGATTGTCCCAAGCATTACTTGATATTTAACATCTCCAACTGTCTTGATACTATATACCAGAAGAAATCCCCAGCTATTGTATCTTACCCCATTTCTCCCTTCTCAGTTTCCCAAATGTCCCTGCAAGGGTTAGTTCCCTCTGTGGTTGAGAATCCATAGATGATGGGTTAGTGCAAGATCTGTCATGCTGCCATTCCTTCCCACACAAGAGTCCAAGTCTTTCACTATGACTAATTCAAGCTATACCTAGTATTTTATTCATATGACATATTGTTTCCTTTGTGGTACTGGGGTTAGAACACAGGGACTTGAGCATGCAAGGCAAGCACTCTACACTGAGACACATCTAAGCCTGTCATGTGGGGAAAGGACTGTTCTGAACCCAACTTCATCTTCTGGCTCTGAGTCTCATCTCAACCACATCCACATTTCTCTGTCCTGTTCCTTGATCCTTATAAAGTCTAAGACAGGGGAATCCTTCCTTAACAGAACACTTACAGGCTCCCGGGGATCCAAGCAGATATCTGGAGGTTTGTCATCATCCAGCTTCCTGGTCGGTCGGATGAAGGCAGGGGGTGTGAATCGACTGGTCCTGTCAAACTCCTCAGGTTCAACTCCACGCCCATCTCGGAGCCGCTCCCAGGCTGCACGATTGATACTGCTCTCTTCCTGGACCACGGGGGCACTCTCTGCTTCTTTTTCTTCCTGTACTTCCTGAACAGAGCCCTCCACAGTGCCGCGGCGGGACCCTGGTAGCTCACCCCCACGTCTAAGGGAAGGCCTGTCCCGTAGCCCATCCTTGAAGGCTGACACAGCCAAGCTCACCTTCTGCACCTGCTCTACTGTCTGCCGCTTGGACATCAACACCCCCATGGCTCTGTGGAGAAAACCAGTTTTATCTGTTTACAGAAAAGGCAGGTACTATTAAATAGTGTAGCAAGGCATATGGCAAAGAGCACATGCTAAGAAGTCAGAAGACCCTGCTTGGTTCTGCTCCTGACTGGCTGTGTGATTTCAGTTTCCCCATCTGAGGAATGAGGATTATCTGTTCAACACACTTCCCAGGGCTACCATAAGGATTACACATGAAAATGAACTTAGGTGGGGGATATAGTTCCACAGTAGAGAGCTTTGTACTGCATGCTTAAGGCCCTGGGTTTGACCTCAGCAAAATGTGTACGTCTCTGTGCGTGCATACACATAGTCTCTCTCTCTCTCTCTCTCTCTCTCTCTCTCTCTCTCTCTCTCTCATACACACACACACACCACATACAAAAAAAAAAAAAGCAGTGCTTAATTAAGTAGAGTACTATACACATGTGGTAACTGTCAGCCTTGTTACTGGAGAGCTGGTCTAGCACAGGGGCATCAGGGTGTCTGCTACTTTGAGGTGGTTGGGACTCCAGTTTTTTCCTCTTCCCTAAAAGGAGACTTAACACATTTCAGATTTTCTAATTGAAAGAAAGCACCTCCAGTAAGTGCCGTGCACAGTTCACCCAGGGTCTATCCTTCTCAAGTGCTGTCTAATTTTCAAGCTAGAGTGAATGAATTTCTATTTTTAGAAGACTCCAGAATCAGGCAGCCAGGAAACTCTGTCAGCTCCATGTATGTGGTCAAGGTTACTTACACCCTTCGGCTCTCTCTTGTGGGACTCTCTCTTACAGGCAATGGGTCTACTCAAGCTCTATGGTAGGTGCCTTTTGCTCTTCTAAGATATTAATGACATGTTCACATTTTCACAATTGCTTTTATATCCTTCAATAAAGTCTATAACTTTTCAAAAGTTAAAAGGAATATTATCCTGCTGGGTGATGATGCTGCACACCTTAAATCCCAGCACTCAGGAGGCAGAGGCAGGTGGATCTCTGTGAGTTCCAGACCAGCCTGGTCTACAGGAGCTAGTTCCAGGGCAGCCTCCAAAGATACACAGGGAAACCCTGTCTCGAAAAACAAAACAAAACAAACAAGCAAAAGGAATATTATCCCTGTCCTTCTCTGCAGGACCTAATACAGCACAGGAAAGTAAGGACACGGCACACTGCAAAGCTGGTCTACTCCTTCTTACTCTGAAGAGCCTCATTGGAAGATGGCTGAGCAATGTTTTCTCAAAGCAGAGCAACAGTCCACTTGAACCTTGCCCCCAACACACTTTAATCAAGGCTTATTGAACAGTACCATGTTCAAGGCACTGATCACTGACAGGAAATGGAGATGGATAGCATCACACCACTCAAGATATTAAGCATCAGACTCCAAAGAAGCAACCAGAACTCCAGGGTTACTTGAAGAAGGCTGAGACTGGAGGCAAAGATGTTACCTATCCACACAATGCAAAATCCTTCTCGCACACAGAAGTGCTGACATACACTAAATACAGATGAGCCTTGAAAGGAAATATTCACGTGATCCCATTTATGTGTAATGATCAGTAAATCTAGAGAAATAAAATAGATTGGTGCTTCCCTAAGTCTGTGGAGAGTTTGTGGGTGGATGTGGTTGCTAATGGGTATGGCCTTATTTAGGGGGCAACAAAAACAAAGATGTTGGAGCACGATGATGATTGCATAACTGTGCACATGCTAAAAATAATTTAGTGCTACACTTTAATTAAGTAAATTTTATGGTAAGTATTATATAGCAATCTGGCTATTTTTAAGGATTAAAAAAATGTGTGAGACCACACTATCAGCGGACCCTAGGGAATGTGTGAGAAGTTACCTTCAGTTTATTTGGGGTAAAGGTAGCAGTGGGTAAAAGGCAAGGTAGAGACAATTAGAAGACTACTATACCAGCCTGGGCCAGAGGATGAGGGCTTAAACTGCAGTAAGGGCAGGTGTGACACTGAGTGCATTTGTCGCCATGGAAATAGATTTAGGGATTTTAGGAATAAACTGGTAACTAATTGGCTGAAGGACAAAATGGTAGATGGCAGTTTTAAATAGACTAGAGGAACAGAAGTAGCAGCCAAGGAGTTGGAAATGAGTTAGAGGAAGAGTCACTGGAGTCTGTGCATGAAGGGTTAAGGGACCCTGGGACGTGGGGACATCGACAGTGGCTCCAGAGCTTTCAAGGGCTTCCCACGGCTTTTAGGACTCGATTCCTCATGTCTGTGCTTCTATCTGTGCTTTGGACTATCTGTTAAAACTGGTGTTTGGAGCATATATTCTTAGGCATTAAGAATATTCATGTTCTTTTATAAGCCAATGACCTCATGAGTGTTGTCAGAGTTAAGGAGTGTAGAGGAGAGTGTATGTTAAAGTTAAACTATGGGGTTCTAGATGGGCCTATGACCCCAACACTGCCCAGATGCCTCATGGGCAATAGCTGTGCTCTATGTTAGGTAGGAAGGCAAATCCCTGAGATACACCAAGAGGAGGAACGCTAAATTGACACACAGCACTTCCCTGCTATTTTTCTTTGTAAAAAGATTTCTTTCTTTTTATTTTATGTGTATGTCTGAAAGTATGTCTGTGTACTATATATGCATTGCCCGAAGAGACCAGGAGCGGGCGTCATATATCCTCTGGAACTGGAGTTACAATCAGTTGTCAGCCACCATAAGCTAGAAATGAAACCCTGTCCTCTGGAAGAGCAGGCAGTGTTGGTCTCCAGTTCCACTTATCTTCCTGTAAAGTATTTGACTCTGCCTGATGGCTGAGTACAATTCCATTGTGTATAAATGCCACATGTCATTCCCATTCATCTGTGGGTGGGCATCCAATAACTTGACTACTGTGAAGAGTGCCACAATAAACATGAGTGTGGCTGGGCATGGGGGTGCACACTTTTAATCCTGGGGCTCAGGAGGCAGAGGCTGCCTAGCTCTGTGAGTTTGAGGACAGTCTGGTCTACACAGTAGCTCCAGACCAGTCAAGTCTAATAGTGAGACTCTGTCTGATATGGGATAATGCTCTTCTTGTTCACTGTAAAGATTTGTTACTTGTATTGGTTTAATAAAATGCTGATTGGCCAGTAGCCAGGCAGGAAGTATAGTGGGGCTACCAGACTAGGAGAATTCTGGGAAGAGGAAGGCAGAGAGTGAGTCACCTGCCAGACACAGAGGAAGCAAGATGAGAATGCCTCACTGAGAAAAGGTACCGATTACGTGGCTACACATAGATAAGAATTATGGGTTAATTTAAGTTGTAAGAGCTAGTTAGTAATAAGACTGATCAATAGGCCAAACAGTTTATAATTAATATAAGCCTCTGTGTGTTTATTTGGGACATGGCTGCAGGATGGGACAGAATAGAAACTTCCATCTACACCCTGTCAACAAATAAATAACAAAAAATGTTGCACAGATATCTCATGTTTTGTTTGTTTGTTTAGAAATAGAGTCTCTGTGTGGCTCAGGCTTGTATGAAACTCACTCTTCAGGGCTGGCCTGGATGTTGGGGTCCTCCTACTATAGCTTCCTGAGGGCTGGTATTACAGGCACATTTCCCTATGCTTGGCTTAGTTATCTTTGGTGTATTTTGATTTTAGGTCCTTTCAGGTATATAACCCAGGAGTGGACCATATGGCAGCCTTCCTTACTTTCCTTTTTTTCTTTTTTTTGGAACCTCTGTGCTTATTTCTATAGAGACTGGACTAATAACTCAGTATTTATGCCAGAATTGTTGTTGTTGTTTTTCATGGGGACAGCTATTCTGACTGTGGTGAGGTCAATCTCAATGCATTTTAGATTTGTATTTTCCTGGTAACAAAGCATGGTGAGCAGTTCTTTTATGTGTTTATTTTCTATATAAATGTCTTTTGAGACATTTCATTCAATTCATTCTTTATTTATGTATTTGATGCAGGGTTTCTCTGCATAACAACTTTGGCTATTATGGAAGTTGCTTTGTAGTCCAGGCTGGCCTTAAACTCACAGAGATCCACCGGCCTCTGCCTCCCAAGTGCTGGGATTAAAGGCGTGCACCACCACTGCTAGGCACAATGTTTTTTTAATTGAAGAATTCTGCTTCTTTTTCTTTGGCAGTGCTGGGATTGAGCCCAGGGCTTTGTGCATGTTACTTAGGCACTCTATCCCGCTCTTCCTTTAGTGATGGGAGATGTCATTCTGTAAATATGTTTCTCTTATTGGTTAATGAATAAAACCCTGTTGGCCAATAGGAAAGCAAGATAGGCGGGGTTAGGAGACAAAGAGGATTCTGGGAGATATAGTAGAGAGGAGTTAAGATGTAGGACATGAGAGAAGAGGTCCAGACCCCTTCTCCAGTAAGATAAGACAACGTGGAAACACTTAGATGAATAGAAATGGGTTAATATTTAAGACAGAGCTAGCCAATAAGAAATGCTAGTAACAGGCCAACAGCATTATATCTAATGCAGCGTCTCTGTGTGTTATTTGGGGTTGATGTGCCTATGGGACCAGGCTGGCGGGAAGCTGCTCATAACACTTTTAATTTAAGATGGTCATGTATAAACACAAGGAATGTAAGGAAAACTCTGCTTTTGACAGGTGTGACTTCTAACAGTGTGGGGATGGGAGGTCTACTAGTGACAGACTGGCCAAAGGACACCTACTCTGTAATGGACAAGGCAAGCTGTGAAAGACTACAGTTGGCTTTGAAGAAAAAGAGGGAGCCACGAGCCAAGTAATGTAGGTGGATTGGAAAAGCTGGAAAGGGTAGGAAAGCCAGTGTACCCTTGGAGCCTCCAGAGATCTATGCTCCCTTGTGGATAGATACCTTAATGTTAGTCTAATGAGACTGTGCTCAATTACTGGCTTCAAAAATTGTAAAGAGAATGGATTTGTATTTTTTTAAAGATTTATTTATTATGTACATAATATTCTGCCTGCATGTATGCCTGCATGGCAGAAGAGGGCACAAGATCTCATTACAGATGGTGTGAGCCACCATGTGGTTG